GAAATATTTCAAAAATTGTCTTCTATATACAGAAATACAATTTTCAATTAAATACTGTCGCGGTGAAAAAGTTAATAACAGTGACAATAATAATAACAAAATTTTATATTTTTAGCAACTAATATCAACAAAAAAATGCAGAATACGATGTACCTTTAATTTTAATAAAACTTTTTTACTATTTAAAAAATAAACTCGATTAAGTTAAATAACTTTTTTCTTTCGGTGAATAAATGATAAAATAAATAAAATTTTCTTGTAGCGTTAAATCGTAGTATAATTCTATTCAACTAAAGAATTGCAACTATTATCTGTGCGTAGTTTTACGTTACGTTGAATCTATAATAAAAAGTCACGTTACTTCACCGTGCTAAGCGTTTCAGGACATTGCACGGGAATGTTTAAATTTGTCTCGAATACCGCGTGAGATTTGTAAATCATGTACGCGTCGATGTTGCAGTACGTTGAATCTATAATAAAAAGTCACGTTACTTCACTGTGCTAAGCGTTTCAGGACATTGCACGGAAATGTTTAAATTTGTCTCGAATACCGCGTGAGATTTGTAAATCATGTACGCGTCGATGTTGCAGAAGATGTGATTATATTCATTCATGGCATGCTGCCACTGCCAGGTGATTAAGACTGTAATTTGTAGCAGTGTTTGTTTAAAAACTTATTAAACTATCGCAACTTCGTTTGAATCTACGCATTAAATTGAATTTCGATCGTAGGAAATGTTAGCTTCTGCTCTACATCAAGTACAATGACAAAATTCAGATAATTGCTAAACTGTAATTCAAACATTCTTTGTTTAATCTTAAAATAATCACGTTTATAAGTGTATTATATTGCAATACATATCCAACGAACAAATTCCATATGAATATTAAACAAAAATTAAAAATTTAGAAATCAATTAAATTTAAAAAAATCAAAGTGATACATTAGTTGAAATACAATTATTTAAAAACAACTGTAAATTTTACCTTTATTTAAAATAGTTAAAAAATTAATTTTTAGCATCTACTTGTGAAGTGAGTTTCTCCGAAAATGATTTTATCGTTTCATTTAAGTATGTACATTATTACTACTTTCATCAGAACCCTAAGAATAATCTAACCTCTACATCCTCTTCAAAATTTATTACATTCTTCTTCTGAGATCCTTTCCTCATTTCTTTAATACAAATTTCAATTCACATGTATCAGCTTCATCCAGTTCTATGAGAAGTATTTTAGCTATTAAACAGCAATCATTTAACACCAAAAATGTCAAATAATCTTAAGGTACGATATTACACGGTAGCAAACAGCTTTCTCATACTTTTCCCAAAATTAGAAAAGTAAAAGAAAAGAGGTACTGAACCATCTCTACCCTATCTAATTTCAGTTCTAATGGGGAGCTTCCTGGAAGAGGGACCTAGAGGTCCATGGAGCCATTTTTTGGTAAATCTTTCTTAGTCTAGAAATCTTCCCTCCAAATTTCGTTTCAATATTAAGAGTAGCACTTTTTGTCGAATTTACATCCTAAAATACAATTTCCAATGCAATTTACTCAGTTTATAATTTTTTCCTTTAGGCCATTTTCCTATAAACCTCAATTATGGCATTAACATAACAAGATGTTCTCACATAAATCCACTTTACGAAGGCAAAACCACAATTGGGAAGCTACCTGAGAGAGAGACCTATAGGTCCATTTTTTGGTAAATCTCTGAGAAGCATTTTTTGTTGAATTTATAGATTAAAGTAAAACTTCGAATGCAATTTATTTAATCCACAATTTTCCCTAATGGACCATTTTTTCAGAATTTACGTAAGCCTCCTCTCACATAAATCCACTTTACAAAAACGAAAACCGCAATTAGGAAACTTCCTAGAAAAGAGACCTATAGATCTATGGGCTCTTTTTTGGTAAATCCTTTTCAGCCCAAAATTCTTCCCTCAAAATTTCGTCTCAATATTCAAAGTAGCATTTTTTGCTAAATTTACAGTCTAAAGTAAAACTTCCAACTACAATTTTCCCAGAAACCTCAATTATAGCATTCACACAAGATACTCTCACATGAATCCACTTTACAAATCCAAAACCACAATTGGGAAACTTCCTAGAAAAGAGACTTATAGGTCAATCTTTCGACAAATCTCTGAGTAGCACATTTAACTAAATTTACAGCCAAAAGTCAAACTTCCAAATGCAATTTACTACTCAGTTCGCAAATTTCCCCCCTATGGTCCCTTTCCCAGAAACCAAAACTACATATCGTTCACATAAACAACAAGGATATGCTCTCACGTACCTCGGCGCTTTGTCGAGCAACAGATTGCATTTCTGGTCATTCTCGCAGACGACCAGGTTGATCTCCGCCTGGTTGATGATGAAGGCACAGGCGTCAGGGCCCAATGTGTCGTATAAAGGCACCACGATCAGTGAATACGTGTAGCAGGCTTGCTCCGTGAGGATCCATTCCGGGCAGTTTTGACTGTACAAGCCCACGAGCGTGTGTGATCCTGGTGCTACACCTAGCGTCACTAGGCCAGAACCGAAATTCTTCGCCCTGAGCAGAGCCTCGTTGTAATGAAGCCACTGGTAAGGTTTATTTGGTCCATCCCGCCAGCCGAGACATGGCCCGTTGTCTGTGTGTCAAGAAGACCGGCCAACAGCTAATGGATTTCGATGCGGCACGACGGTGAAACGGTGCGTTTCCGTACGCAACCGTCAAGGATGCGGTTGTCGCGTGTTTCAGGAATTTTAATTGTTGCC